CACTTCTCCATGTCATATACCCCCCCCCCCATCGTCGCATAGTTCACCTACGCATAGTTGTCTTATCCACCCCCAATCGTCGCATAGTTCTCACTTCTCCACCAGTTGACCTACGCATAGTTGTCTTATCCCCCTTCCCATCGTCGCATAGTTCACCTACGCATAGTTGTTTTATCCACCCCCCATCGTCGCTTAGTTCTCACTTCTCCACAAGTTGACCTAGGCATAGTTGTCTTACACCCCCCCCCCCATCGTCGCATAGTTCTCACTTCTCCACCCCCATCTACCCACAGTGCTATGGGCCTCTGCGGGTGCTGGCTGCGTCTAGCATGGGAGCGCTTTTCAAGAACGCGTCCACACTTCGCTTCACCAAAGAGCAACTGTGCCCGTCGTTTACCTACCACTTGATTTACACCTGCACCCGCCCCCATGCACGCCTGCCACACGGCGACGCGCCACTGTGGGGTGCGTCGCACGAGAACACGGAGATAGTCAATCTATTAATAGCACTCAAGGGCAGCCCTGCACTGGCAGCCAATCACATGCGATGGTTTACGGACAATGTCCTGCTCCCGGCCCTAAAAGCCACGGCCGGGGTCACCACGTGCATCTCAGAGGAGGTGAAAGGGGCTGAGCTGATCATGCCCCACTGTTTCCGCAAGGCACGGTACACGGGTGAGATGCCGTCTGCCGAGGGGACGGTGGTCTCTCCCGGCAACTACGCTGTACTGGATCTGGCGTTGCTGGCGAGTGTGGTGACCAAGGTCAAGGTAGGCAGAAACCGCTATAGAGTTTAATAGTTGTGCGGTTTCAGGCTTGTAGGGTTGTAGGGTTTTAGACACACACCTTTGTATCACCTGTGTGGTTGGGTATTGCTGTGGCAAAGTGTGGTGCTGATGTGTGCTCGTGCGTTGCTTGTTGTGTGCGGCAATTGTTGTGCGTTGCTAGTAATACTGTTGTGCCACTATTTGGCCACTGACTGCTGAAACGGGAGGGTTATAGGGTTATAGGGTTAGATTGAGTTTTGGGTATTTTAGGGTTTGGGGTTTAGCTCCACACGCACACCTCGCGGCTTAAGTGATGTTTGATATTGTACAGAGTGAGGACCTCTTTGTCCCTGTCGAAATTAATACTTGTGCATACTTGTATATGTTAGGCATTATGCATACTTGTATACGTATATGGCATATTACACAAATACCGTTTAAACGAATAAGCTGTCACTTCTATGCATACCCATGTATAAATACATATGTCATATTACACACATGCAACCACATAAGAGGATACCCTCTCACTCCCCAATGCATCGCAGGGGTCGGTGGCTGTGTTTGCGGCGCAAGTGCAGAGAATGTTGATGGAGAGCCCAATGGCCTGTACAGACATCCGTTGGTATGTACACGTTGGTGTGTGTCTGTGTGTGGTTGCGTGTGCACAGATATCCGTTGGTATGTACACGTTGGTGTGTGGCTGTGTGTGGTTGCGTGTGCACAGACACCCGTTGGTATGTACACGTTGGTGTGTGGCTGTGTGTTATTGCGTGTGCACAGACATCCGTTGGTATGTACACGTTGGTGTGTGACTGTGTGTGGTTGCGTGTGCACGGACATCCGTTTGTATGTACAGGTTAGTGTGTTGCTGTGTGTAGTTGCGTGTGCATGAGTGTGTGTAGGGTTTTGGGTTTTGGTTGGTTACATCACGTTGCATTGGGCGATGTACCACTACGTCATCAAGGGTTTTTTGGATATAGGGTTTTGGGTTAATAGTGTGTTGCGATTGATTGCGCGCGCGTCCTCTGTTATTTATTGCGTATACGGTGATTTTAACCCCTGAACATCATACACACAAGCATGACTGCGAAGAAAAGTTTTAAGGTGACTTAATTAAACCCTGAACATCATACAGACAAAAATAACTGTGCACAATGTTTTCTATGGTTTTTAATGTGACTTAATTAAACCCTAAACATCAATTAGACGAGCATGGGGGCCGCGTGAAACGTCTACTATGGGGTTTAAGGTGACTTAATGACCATAGCACTGTGTGCTGGGTGCGTGCTAACGTTTTCAGCCCAAATGACACCGTTTCCTTTCGCATAGGGTGTTGAAACGGTTAATTGTGTTGCATCTGTCGCATGAGTTCGATGCGGTGACCTTTGCTGAACACCTCACGTACGCCAAACCCAAAGCCACAACCGCAATGGATCCGCAGATACGCATGAAGTAAGTGTGTGCATGAGAATGAGGCAACATATACAGAACAAACTGTTTGTATATGAATATGTAAATATATATATATTTGACAAATGAAACACCATACATATAAGTATTACATGGATCCGCAGATACGCATGAAGTAAGCGTGAGATAACATACACATAATAAACTGTTTGTTTATTAAACTGTTTGTATAATAAACTGTTTGTACAATAAACTCTTTGTATAATAAAATGATCGTATAATAAACTGTTTGTATATTTAACTGTTTGTATAATACGCTGTTTGTATAAAAAACTGTTTGTATAATAAACTGTTTGTATATATATATATATATATGACGAATGAAATACCATACACATAAGTGTTACTGTTCGTATATTCTATATGCGTACAGATGAAGTACAACGTATCATGCGCACATGCATGTCTGTTGATATGTACTGCATGCAGGTGTGCCCGTGTGCGGTATTGGGTTTTAGGGTTTTACACCAAAACCCTAAAATCGTATATGGCGGTCGGTCGTATCTGTATGGACGTGTGCATTGTTTGAGACTATGCGCGCGTTGTCAGTTATCCCTATTGCTGCCATGGTTCATACCTCGAATGACTATCATCTCATCAACTGATGCTTGCAATGACTGCTGTGTGTACCTTTTTCTTACACTATCATCTCATCTACTGATTCTTATAATGACTGCTGTGTGTATCCTGTCCTTACACCATTTACTTTAGTTATACTATTTACTTTCCTTATACTATTTACTTTCCTTATACTATTTACTTTCCTGATACTATTCACTGTTATTGTGTGCACAGTTATGGCGTGGCCATTCTGGACGTGGCTACGTATGCTGTGGTATGCATGGTTTCCGCACACACCCACGACGAGTTTACACAACTGCACAACCACAACAACACATACGGTCACTTGCGAGTCAGTGCACACACGACCACAGCCACAACCACAGCCACAGCCACAGACACAGCCACAGCCACAGACACAGCCGCAGCCACAGCCACAGCCACAGCCACAGCCACAGCCACAGCCACAGCCACAGCCACAGCCACAGCCACAGCCACAGCCACAGCCACAGACACAGCCACGGCCACGGCCACAGCCACAGCCACAGGAACAGACACAGAAACGACCATGATAAAGAGTGCTGAGGGCAAAGATGGTCCTACTGTCCCCGCGAGGAAACGCGCCGGGTCCGACGGCAGTGTACCTGGGGCGGCAGTTGCACCTGCACCTGCACCTGGGAATTTAGGACTGGACGACGACAGGGCGAGCGATGGAGCGCAAAGTGGAGTGTATATCACTTTGCGAGCCCTACACGAGACCGTCATGAATGTGCAGGTGTGTAGTGTTGCCCTGTCCTTACCACGCAATGCATGGGTGCTGTAGTTCAAAAGTGCTGACCAGTTCGTCCAAGATAATGGGATGTTTTAACAGCTGTCTGAGTTCCTGTAAAATGGGTTAATTCAGGGTTTTCGGGTCAAGGTTTCTTTGGTCAGGGGTTTGTGGTCTAGGTTTTAGAGCATTAGGGTTAAGGGTTATACACTCAATTGTATCATTGCAGCACAAAGTGCGAAGGGATTGGGCAGTAGATCATTCCTGATCATTGATCTAATACGCAAGTATGCGACTACTGGTCGAGAACACGTGACTATCCATGTCTATCTATGACTACCTAGCCTATCTATTCCTACCTATGACTACCTCTGACTATCTATGCCTATTTCCTGTGACTATCTATGCCTACTTATTAAAACCCTTATGACGTGATCCTACTACGGTCACACAGGCACAGCACCCATGGTGTGTTGAGGCGATGTCACATACAGCTGCTTATGTCACTACTCACACCACCAAACACATCTCAACCCACTACTCACACCACTGACCATACACCATCCGTACCCTCAGCTGATTGGGCTGCGCTGGTTGGGCAGTGATGCGTTGGCGCTACTGCCAGTCAACAATACGGGCGACTACCACGGGCTGGTGAGTGGTCTCTTGCACGTAATTTAATTAGACACGCGAGTGCTATTAATAGATGCGTCTAAGCTATTAATAGATGCGTTTGTGCTATTAATAGACGCGTTTGTGCTGTGGGTAACTGCCGTGTGGTATCTGTGTTTTGGTACTCCGGCGTGGTAGCGGACGCTGTGTACGTGTTACAAAGAAAATAGTGTTTAGTGTCGACTAAATCGCAATCTCAATGATACACAAACACGCACACACACACACACACACACACACACACACACACACATATATATATATATATATATATATATATATNTGTGTGTGTGTGTGTGTGT